TCCGCACACCTAATCATACTCCTTTTTCTCTTTTACATTGATTGCAATCCCCACAATGTAACAGCAACCTTCCTACTTTGCCCTGTGTGTACTATTTCCATTCATTTTCTTTACAATCTCATCCTCCTTTCTGAGCTCTGTCTCTGGTCAGAATGCCCTTTGGACGTCATATGATTGTCTTAGGGAGAGCATTCCTCTCTGGTATTGTAGTTGACCTTATAGGCCTCTCTGCTGTTTAGCTGAGAAGTTGGGAATAAGTTCAATTCCAGACCAAAAGGGTCTTCAGGGGTCACAGTCCTGTGAGCTTCACCAGCCTCTATCAGACCAGTAATCCTGGTCCTCTTTATTATATGGCATTTTGTTCTGTATTTTTTGGTCCACTCTACCCTGGCTCTTTTATGTGATCTCTTTTAGAGGGATTGGAAGTGGTACCCAGGTTCCACTGGTCCTTCTGGTCTGGGGTCATAGACACTGAGTTTCCCCTGTTCATTAATTCTCTGAATAAATAACTTCCATGTTAATTTTATTGTCTTCTCTCTTGTTGCATCCGCTAGAAGAAACTAGTAGTCGGATCTCAGATAGCCATGAACAAGATTTTAATATTCCAGTAGTGACTCTCTGAGATGCTAGTTGACTTTAGTGTTCCTTGAGACTATGGCTCTGGGCTCCAGTCTCCACTGACTCATTTGCTCAAGGTGCCTAGTTACAGCTAAGAAGTTTTGACCATTTGTATGATCTACTGTATTCATGAATATATTTTCAGTACATTTAAATGTGCATTGAGAAGTAGTCTCTGATAAATGTGTGTGAGAGTGTAGTTGTTGCTATGTGCAGTCAAGTCAATTGTGACTCACAGAGACTCCATGAACAATAGTTCTGAATTTGGCCCCATCCTGGGCCATCCTCATCATCTTAGATATACTTGAGTCCATTGTTATAATCATTATGTCAGTCCATCCTCTTGAAAGGTCTTCTGCTCTTACTCTGACACTCCACTTTTCCCAAGAATGACCTTCTCGAAGGACTGGCCCCTCCAAATAACAATGCCAAAAATCTATGAGATGAAGCTTCATGATCTTTGCTTCCAACAGAACTTTTGTTGCACTTTCTCCAAGCCAGCCTTGTTTATTCTTTTGGTAATCTTTGGGATATTCAGTACTCTTCTCCAGTACCACAACTCAAAGGCCTCAATGATTCTTCTGTCCTCTTTAGTCATTGTCTACCTTTCAAATGTACAGCAAGTAATAAAAAAGACCATGGCTTGAATTGAGTGCATCTCAGTCTTTAAACTGAAGCCCTGGCTCTTCAGCACTTTGGAGGACAGCAGATTTTCCCATTGTGATACATCTTTTGATTGCTTGAGTGCTGGTACTAAGTATTAACTGTAGATCCAAGTTAGATAAAATCATTGATGACATCAGTCTTTTCTTTATCTATCATAATGTTGCCAACTGGGTATGGTCAAAGATCTTTTTCTTAAGATCTCCAGAATTACTTGATTTCTGCTTTGAAAGGCTATATTGTTTAGAAGGCAAACTTTATGTAGGAAGAGTTCTACAAGATTGGTTTCTGTTTACTGAGTGTAAATCTATGAATATGTAAAGGTTTCTTTAAAATGACAAACAAGGGGGAGCTCTGGTGGCCTAGTGGCAAGGAGCTGCAACTACAATCCCAGAGG